AAAGCGTGCTAGGCTGTGCAGCAGTGTTAAGACATAATTAAGACATAAGCAGACCTTGTGTTGTTTGTCTTCAACCTACTGTTGCTTCCCAGTTAACAGGAGCAGAGGGGGGGCTGGGCCTGTGGTTGGCCTGCCACCTGTCCCTTCTGTGCCTTTGCAGCAGGATCAAGAGGGTGGAGCTGGAGCCTGGCAGCCTGGGGCCTGTGCACAAGAGTGGGGAAGTGCTAGGTACTCTCCAGGAGACTGGACTAAGGAGAGGCAGGAATGACATGGTGGCAAAGGACACCAACAGGGTTCAGAGGAGAAGAGTGGAGTTCTGAGCCTCATGTGGCTTGGTGGATGGCAGAGTACAGGCTGGGGCATCATCCTCACTGATACAGAGGAGATCTGCGGGTGGTAGGTAGGGTGATGGGACATGGCTGGCAGCCCTGCAGATATCCCTCTCTCTCCTCTTCACTGTCCTCTGACTCTTTGGTTAACACTGCTGCACCCTGAAGATGGATGATGGCCTCCTGTCCTAGAACTGCCCTCCTTTTCAGGAAGAGTCGCTGGTGGTGAGATAGAGGGGCTAATGGTATATTAATAATGAACTGAGGCTTTGATCCTTACTGATCAAAAATGTGGACTACACACGCTTGCAACCCCAATAAGTGAGAGGGAAGTGGCCAGCATCAGGGCCAAGTGTTTACCGTCTTTCCACGGAGGAAAGCAAAGCACTTATCTTTAGAACAATGCACGTTCCCCCCGCCATGTACACACACGTTTACATTCAGTATCAGGGGTCCATGGTGCCCGGGGCTTTAGGTCACCCCCATGCTGCACCCTCATCCTTGGCATCAACTTTCCTTTCCCATTCTCCTGCCTCTTTGAATCATTCTTTCCAAAGTATGAATTTCTGCCCACCTGTCCCCTATTCAGCCTGCCAAGATCACTGTATGCTCTTCAAGTACAGTGCATGGGAAAGCTTTGACCTGATAGAGTTCTTTTTTTTTTTCATTGTTGGGGATTCATTGAGGGTACACAGAACTAGGTTATGCTGATTGCTTTTGTTAGATAAGGACCGTCTTGGAATTGTGTTCTTTATCACCCCAGTTCTCTCCCTCCCTCTAAGCTCTCTCACTTGCTGCCACGGCTGCACTTTCATTACTTTTCCCTCCTCCCCTCCTGGTCTAAGTTACCACCTTCTGTTCAGGGACACTTTTATCTCCATTTGTTTTCCCTTTAAATCTGTCTCTGGGCTTGGGGCTCTGTGGAATTCTTCCTCTTCTTCTAAAATATAAAGTGACCTGAGCCTTCCTTGAACTGGGACATTTCATCTCATGAACTTTTTGCTTCAAAGAGCTCAGGCCCAGGTCCTTTACTTTTATTCTAGGTATACAGCAGAGCGCCGAGCTTGCTATAAATAAGCAATCTTCAAAATAACAGTACCAATCACTTTCAGATGCTTTGGAACTGC